CTTTGGCTACTGCAGTTGGAGCTGGCCCTTCAAATGAGCTTATTACAGAGATATTCAAATAGTGGCCCATGGCCTAGAACCTAGCCCCTCTGACCCTCCTGGCCTCATTGGCTCACCCAACAGGTGGTATTTTTCCCATAGCCAGAAATGAATGGGCAGAGGTAAGAGCAAGAAGCTGGCCTTGGTCAAATGAAGAAGAGTCACCATTATGATATCACTGCTACGCTTAGGTGACGTGACCAAGGTGCTGTCAGGCCCAACTCCTTTCTGGCCGGTACCTGGTTAGCAGCATAGCTTCAAAAGACAGTTTACAAGAACAAAATATTAAACACATCATTTTTACCTTAATGGAATAAATTCTTAATCATTACATAGTTCCAAAGGACCAAATACATAATAATAATAAAAAAGTAAATACATAATAAGCTGAGTACTAAAAAGGCAAGACAATGGGAAAGAAAGGAGATGAAGGGACAAAGTGAAATGGAGGAGGGAAAAGGAACATTCTTGAAGGACCATATATTCTGAGGTACCCTCAACATGATAGTGAGGCTGAACATTCCCACCCTGATAAAATTATCTCAGGCTATGCCCTTTTCCCATTTTACCAGATGGCATTTCATTCACCAAATCCCAGACTGCCCCTGAATTCCAACAGATTTGGACTAGTAGATAATAATAAGGTTTTGCAAAGAATACTTCATATGTCTACCTTGAGATGCTAAATCACTTGACACTCCTGCCTGGTATCACTGGCTTCAGCCCCTACAGTGAAGCAAAGCCCCATTGGCCCCATCAACTCAGAAAGATCTTCCATTCTCTGTTCTCAGAATGGTCCTCTCCTCCCTCCAAGGCCCACATTCACAACAATATGCTTGTAGAGACTGAGAGAAATTTGAATTCAGGGCATGGTAGGGGGAGAGAAAAAAAGTGGGGTGGGGCAGAAATCTTTTTTTTTTTTTTTTTTTAAAGATGACCGGTAAGGGGATCTCAACCCTTGGCTTGGTGTTGTCAACACCACGCTCAGCTAGTGAGCCAACTGGCCATCCCTATATAGGATCCGAACCCGTGGCCTTGGTGTTACCAGCACCGCACTCTCCCGAGTGAGCCACAGGCCGGCCCGCAGAAATCATTTTTTAAACCCTCATATTTTTAGATCTTCACATACTGTTTCTCATCAAAAGGCCAAACTTTAAGCAAGGCATTCATTCAATGAGTGTGCACACAGAGGCTGAAGACCCTTTGGCAGGAACTTAGAGGTAGGAATTTATGACTGCAAGATTGGGCTGGGTGACCTGATAGGTCCCTCCAAGAAATGCAAACTCTGCACATCATACACTCTCTTTCTTGGGTGATTTGGCAAAATCAGACTACACAGTGGAAAAACCAATTTTGTTCCCTACACCTCTTCAAAACTTTACCCAGATCCAGATGTTCAGAAATGAGAATGTGGCCAGCAAACATTTGGGGAGTAACTTAAAGTTGCTAACCTCAGTATTATTAGAACTGCTCTCCTTGGAGCAAACAACTGAAATTGAAGCAGAGCGAAGTTCAGCGATCACCCCAGGTCCACTACACCAACTGAACTTCCAATTTACACAGCTCCTGAGCTCTGATCTGAGGAACTCTCACCTTTTTCTTTTCAATATACAATAAGAACATACTAGGGAGGCTAAAAATATAGATTTAAACAATATTTAGTTATCAAAACTCGAGACAATCTACCTAAAGCTTATCATTGAGGCAAAGGCAACAATGCCACATTATCTCACGAGCAGATGCCTTGAATCAGCTCTCCCCTTAAAATAAGACTGCTTGCAAGCTGAACACTGCTTTGAGCTCCTACTTTGCTTAGAAATCCCGGTCTTTAAGGGATTACTTGGCTTTTTCTCCCCTTGAGACACATTATCAAGTGGTTTATAAATGCCAAGATGAATGTCATGGGGCATGGGATGTTCTCCTCCCACCATCTTATGCCATTCACATATTTTCGTACTAGGGCTTTTCCACTGCCATAACTTTCAATTCCCTCTCCAAAGGGAACCCAGGCGATCTCAGAAGTGGTTTTAAAAAAAAATCAAGGTTTTAGGACACTTAAGTTCAGACCACATATTTAGATGTCTATTTGTTAAAAATGACTCAATATTGTACCTCCCATTTACTTTATAAATTCCTAATTTTTCTCAGGGTTTTCAAGAGCTCAATACTCTATGCACCACCACAAAAGATGTTCTCCTGCTTCCTCTGAACAGATGAGTGGCCAACATTTGGCTCTGATCCAGTGTAGGTAAACCAATTCCTCACAATACAATGTGGTCGGTCATCAGTAAGTACTTCGGAAATACAAAACACATTGGCCATTTCAAGATCTTAATATTGCCTTTGCTATCACTATTAAAAACTCAACTTCAAAAATTACACTGTGATTTATTAAAAAACAAAAAGATAGTGTGGGGATAACAAGTACACCTTCCTACTGATCACCTAGCAAAACAAACTGAAATCAAGATCCAACTGCAACAGGTAACTGAACTACTTAAAACATACACCAATGGTTAGTTACTTTCCATAATGGACTCCACTGCACACTAAGTTTTTAAAAACATATTTGCTACCCCCACATCTGAACGGGTTCATAAAATCTTGGTGGTGAATTACTTCATAACCTTAGGCCACACTAAGTCCCCATTACTTTACAATTCTCACGTTCAACAGAATTGAAGACTTGCTAGAGAAATGTATACTATGCTCTTCCTGTAAAGGATTTTTAGATTCAGCCTTTGGTGCCAAAACAGTTGAATTGCGTTGTAGTTCAATCAGCAAAGTAATCATTTGCTCTGCCAACTGGCAAATTCAAAGTATCATCAATGTCAGATCAATCCACCAGAAAATACCTGTTTTGTGGACCATACCACCTCTACTCCACGGCCAAGCCAGGATGCTGGGGCCAGAGAAAGAGGAGTGTAGGAACACATTTCTAACAAAACATTCAAATAGAAATGATCTTTAAAGTAGCCATTATTTTGCATTATCAGTCCCTTGCTTCTTCCCTCCCATATAATTAATCATGCATTAGCTATTTCAGCTTCCTTAAATTCTTTAAATCAAACATCTGAAAATATAAAATATAGCAGTTAGCCTTTTACAAGTCTATAGACTCTCACTCTTTCCTAGCTGGATGTCTACCAGATATTTTTCCTTGGAAAATTCTAACTCTGTTGAAGCACTTATTGGCATTCTTTTGTAAACTCTTCCCTTGTGTCAGGCAATTTTCCTTTTTAATACCAAAATAGACTGGTCTCAACTCATTAACCTTCAAATCACAAATTATCTATTCTTTTGCCAGTGATGTATGTGGCCATCTGAGGCTACTGACATCTCTCTGTACTGGTGTTGGTGGTTAAGTATGTCCAACTGTTGAACTGGCAATGGCAGAAAAAACATCTGCCTTTACCTCAAGACGAGAAACTCTGAGTGTCATGGTGCTGAGTTTAGTAGAGGGCCACAATTAGCCAACCTTTGAGCCAAACCATGAGATTGCACATATAGTGGATACCAGACACTATAGCTACTTCTAGCATATGAGCTACAAGGATTCCTGAGAAGCTGAAGTTAATGAATGAGACGCATCAGGAGTGAGGTACAAAAGGGATATTGTCATTCTCTGGAGGGCCAATCGGTGCTTAGCTTCTAGAAAGTATACCTTGGCACAGTGTTATCTGATTTCTTGAATTTATTCTCTGAAGTAGCACCTTAACACTGGTTCATCTGTCTAAAATCAAGAACAGAGCCTAGAAGGAACACAGGCCAACTGAAGATACCTTCCATATCACTGCTGCACTATGAAATATGACCAAATCTTTCATTGCCATCAAATACCAGAAACAGTAATGATTCCTGTTTTGCAAACTTTAGTGGGGAAGGACGGCTAATAAGATTAGGTATTGAACCAGAAATACAGAGATAAGAACTTTGATTTCTACACAATATACATTGTGGTCAGGCAAATAGTCTCATCTCATATGAAGGAATCAGTGGCATGGAAGGGACAAAAGATGTAAACTCACTGAGCTATGACTATGATATAATGTACCTTAGAGGTTTTTTTTTTTTTTCTTTTTCATTAAAACGCTGGAGTCATATACTTAAAAGGAGACTAACTGCCTTGATATTTTAAAGATAAAAATCAAAATAAGCCTTAGCCATCCAGTTCTGGGCAATAAAAGAATCAGATTTTGGAAAGATAAGAAGTAGGGGTAACAAGTCCTAGAATCAGGGATCAGCAGCTTTTAAAATGAGGTACACTGAGGTGTTTGGGGGTGGAGGGTTGGGGGGAATATGCTGAGTGCTGATTCTGGGCTGGAAGGATGGTGAGAAGTGCGGTGAACGGACCTATAAAATGAGTGGGCTGAACTCTCACCCCTGGCAGCAGCAACTGGGCTACACAGCAAAGAAAAAGGCTGTATGTCACCTCTGGTTCATGTGCCATAAGGCTGCTAAGCCTCAGTTTATAATTTAACTAGCCCTGGGAGTTCTTTTTGTAATAGGAATGATTAACCAGGCATAGTGCTTAATTCCAAAGACAGGATTCAGTACTGAGGACTAAGAAGGAGAACAGAACAAAGGGGGGGGAGGGGTTATTGCACACGGGTAAAACTACAGAAAACAAGGGCCGGCCCGGTGGTGGCGCACTGGATAGTGCGCCGCTTGGGAAGCGCGGCAGCGCTCCCGCCTGAGGGTTCGGATCCCACATACAGACCGGTTCCCGCTCACTGGCTGAGCGAGGCGCGGGAGCAACACCGAGGGTTGCAATCCCGTTGCCGGTCCCGGTCCGGTACGGGGGCAACACTGAGGGTTGCGATCCGTTGCCGGACACGGAAAAAGACAAAAAAAAAAAACCTACAGAAAACAAAATAGTGGTCGGAATGATGGTGGTGGCTCTTTAATTCCACCAGGTGTCCCTATAGTACGATTTATTTATTTATTTATTTTAACTGTAATAAAGGTGGTAGGAAATTAAGACAGGCACCTTTTCAATTGGATACAAGCACCTTTGGTGTCACCAGGCCTTATCCATACCCCTAGGGCTTAGGATGGCTCTGCATTTTATTTAGAATTCTAAGGACCCTCAAGGGAGTCACAGCTGCCTATCCCGTTCCAACACCTTGAGTACATTTGAAAGTATCCCACGCTCATGGAGACAACACTGGCCTGTTCTGCGCAGTTAACGCTGGGAGGAGGCGTGAGTGTTTGGTTATTCCAGCACTCGTGGTCTTTACAAAGGAATGCATGAGGATGCAGATGCAGCTCTGAATCTTCCCTGGTTTACCAGTATGCAGTCTACGCTTGGTTCCCTTTACCATTCTTACATATTCCAGAAGCCTAAAGCACCATCATTCATGGAGGTGGCATCTGGGTAAGAGGATTAGTTAGGACCTCACAAAAATGTGAAATTCCTAGTCATTGACTTTGCTTTACTAATCATTCACTTCAAGGAAGCTGGAAGAAATCATTCCTTGCTACTAACAAATTCATGGCATGGTCCTTGTCTACTAGCTAACAAATACCATCTGGAAAATTACCCTTTTTGCAGACAAGGAGAAAGCTCTATAACTTATCTTTGTGCACTTCAAAAGAGTACCAGGAACAAGCAAGCTATAAAAGTTAACCTCTCTAAATTCGTTTAGAGGAGATTAACCAAAGCAGCATTGTCTTATAACCAGAAATTAAAATTAACATATACATATACACATAACAAACTAATAATGCTAAATATTACAACAGGAACAAGAATAACATTTGAACCGAACCTTCACAGTCTAGAAAATACCATTACCATTTTCCTTCTGGCTTTCCTTTCTGTAGTTTGAAAAGCAAAGCCCCCTAGTTTGCACTTCATCTTCCATCAACGACAGTTAAATCCCAAAAAAGTGAATTTTTCATGAATTTCCTACAGGCTTTAGGTCAGAACGATTGGAATTTTTCTTGCATAGTTTTCAGTGATTGCATATTGGCTAACAATTATTTTCTAAATTAAAAAAAAAACTTAAAAAAACAAATAGGATTAAACCATAGCAATCTTGTTTACACTTTCATGAAATCTCCCCAATGCAATATCACAGAAGCCCAACTGTATTTTCTCCTAAAGAGATGATTAATTTCCAGAGATTATGTAGTGCAACTGGTTAACTGGGAGGAAAGACACAACACATAATATGACTTCACCATCCAAATATGGGAAATGTGTTTGGGTACCCAGTTAATAAAATATATCCATGGTCTTCAATGTCCCTTCTGTTTTATATCCAGAACAAACCGATGATTCTAGTTGAAAAGAATGGAATCAGGATCTTGGTTCGCCATCTGTGCTATATGCTTTAACACATCCTTTTTGGTAATGATTCCAAGCAATCGCCTAAAAGACAAACACAATACAACCAAAACAAAATAAATCTGTAGTTAAAGTAGCATTCCGAATGGTGACACTTATTCTTCCTAGTCCTTTTCAACTTTGTCTTTGAACACTATCTGCACTTCCAGAATGATGAGGTAACAAGAATAGGATACATGCCAAGGCAAATAGGACAAGGCACGGGCCCCTGAATATATGCAAGTATTTCTAGTTCTAGATCTCAGATCCTGCAATTTCCTTTTGTTTAAATATTCTTCTCTACATATATGAATCTGAACTACTTATTGCAGCCCAGTTCAAATGCCCCTCTTCCAGAACATATTACCTGGTGCTAGAAGCCAGCAGAAACTCTGCCCTCCTCCCAGAAAAAGCATGCTCTATGCAGGCCTCTTCCAAAGCACTAATCCCCCCTTTGCTCTTGTTCTATAACCACCTGTGTGTTCTCACCTTCTCTATATCACTGCACATTCCTTAAGAGCAGAAAAGGATCTTACTCATTTTTGTGTTTCCCTAGAATCTAGTGGAATATCTCTCACACAAAGTAAGAATTCAGTAAATGTTGAATGAACCAGTTAGGGAAATTTACTGATTTAAATCCTGTAAGACATTTGTTACACCACTTAGAAATTTTAGAGGAGGGTGAAATTCTTATATAATTGCTGGATTAACATGCCATGTTCAGAAAAAAATCTGCCTCTCTCCTCAACCTCCCCTTTTTTTCCAATAAAAATAGCAGGACTTCCTTATTGGATAAGAAATATACCAGGAAGAAAGGGCCCTTGGCAGTCAGAACACTTGTGTTTAAAGCCTACCTCTACTATTTATTAACTGAGGATCCTCATGTAAATCATTAGACCTCACTGAAACTTGGTTTTTCACCCTCAAATAACAATAAAGGGATTGTAAGGACCAAATACTACATGTAAACTACTTGATACTATTATAATTTCAGTGCTGTCTGTGCACAAGAACACAGCTGTTTCCATTGTGGGAGAGGAACTGAGTTATTTATTAACATGCAACTAGCAGTTCACATCTTTCAAACATACTTTCTTCCCCAAACTCCTTTTTCATTAATTATGATGATAAAGGAAACACATCCATCTTTATCTCAGAACTTCAAAAAGGCCTAAAAGTGCTACTAATGTTCATTTAAATTGGGTTCTCCTTCCTCTCTCTACATTCTCTCTTCTCCCACAATCCAATTTGCCTTCACCCAAGAGTTCTCACCCGTTGTGTGTAACCAGACACTGCCGCAGTCCCAGCTTGCGGAAGATATCCACCACAATCTCCATGGGTGTAAGGTCCGTCACAGTGAAGGGGCTAAGATCCAGGATGTTCCGAAGCTTCAGGGTAGGTGGAGTGTACGGTGGCACTGGAGGAGAATGCTCAGTGAAATAAATGATGGAAGTGCTCACAACACCATCCTGTTTCTTTCGAGCATTTTCTATTTGAACAGAAGGAAAAAAAAGTTGAAAATGGAAGAGCTAGTTCTATCCTTCTGGCCCCTAACCAGTCTCCTCTTCCCTCTGTATTCCCCTGTTTCACACACATTTATTAAGTTCCACAGTGGATTACACTATACCCTTTCTGAAATCCTTACCAATTGAAATAATGAGATCTCTTCGGAGGACAAAGCCCACAAGTCTTTGGGACTCCCGAGACACCACCACTGGGAACCCACTATAAGTGGTTTCACTGATTATGGTCTCTACATCTTCCACAGTCATACTGTCCTGAGTAAGGACAGTCAACAAAGGATCATTTCTCCGGGGTTTCATCACATCCATTGCTAGGGTCTTATGAGCAAACTCTTCTTTGGCTTCAAGAAAGGGGTATCCGTTGAGACGGATGTGGGCATCATAGATGCCCTCCCGCCCAAGAGCATCTGCCACCCACTTGCTTGTCATGGCTGCAGCCATCAGAGGCACAATGTATTCCAAGCCACCAGTCAGTTCAAACATTATGACAACAAGAGAAACAGTCATCCGAGTCACCCCACCTGTAAAGAAAAAGACACAGGCTACTGAAGGGAAGCAAAGTACAGCATTCATTACAATTATGGGTCCCATCAAGGAAAAGCTTGCTTACTAAAAACAATGCTAGAATGGGATCTCGCCTACAACTGCACTAACCCCAAAGATTGTGTTAAACAAGGTTAAAATGGACATGATTCAGATATCTCAAAATAACATCTATAGAAGTTCAAGATGCCTTCTTGATTCTTCTTTTATTTTTCATTTGTGTGTTGTTTATTTTCTCTAATTATAAAAGTAATGAATGCCCATTGTGGGAAATTAGGAAAATATAAAAGAAAGTCATTATCCATAAGCTCACTGCCTATAAATAATCAGAGTAAAAATTCTGAATGACTTTTTCAAGTTTTTTTCCTATGCAAAAACATATGTTTTTACATAAATAAGCTCATATTATATGAGGGTACTTCAAAAAAATTCATGGAAAAATAGAATTAAAATATAAATATTTCCATGAACTTTTCGAAAACCCCTTGTATGTTTAACTCCCTGCCATGGTTTTTCCCTCTACTTTATGTTGGGAACATTATGCATATCATTACAAATTTATTTAACATAATATTTAAAGATGTTAAACATATTAACATCATAGGGCTGGCCCGGTGGCGCACTGGATAGTGCGCCGCTTGGG